TCCAATGCATCTTGTCATGAACTATTTCATGATGAGGTGAATGTCATCTAATGTTGGCAATGTTGAGCACACTTTCTAATATCTAACATCATGTTAAACATGATGAATCATCAATTTACTTTATACTTGTTTTAATTTTTTATTTTTCTTGTATAAATGAATTATTTAATTAGTTCACCTATACAAATAACTTTTTATCAAATTGATGCATTGGAGATACTAGTTTTATTCAAATTTATAGTCTTTTTAACATTATTTCAATGTGGATTAACATTACAATCATTAATTGACATGTGTTAAAAATATTGGTCTTTCAAACTCATAGCATTGGAAATGCTCTTAAGTATGTTTCGATTATTTTTTATAATTCCAACGGCTATTTTTCCAACGATTTTTTACCGTATAAATTTTTGTTGAAATTTTAATTTCCACCCCCGTGGGAAAATCTACCGTTGGAATCGTCAAAATCCAACGAAAATTTCAATGAAAAACTCATTTCAATGGAAATTTTTGTTGGAATTTCCATTGGAATCCATTGAAAAATTCCAACGGGAATAATAGCATTGAAAAATATCCATTGGAATCGTCGTTGGAATTCTATTTGAATATATTTCCGTTGAAATTTCATTTTCTTGTAGTGTACTAAGTGCTGTTAAATTAAACGAGCCTGGCTCGGCTCGGCTCGAGCTCGGATCGTTAAGGTTCGAGTTCGAGGCCTTAATGAGCCAAACTCGAGCTCTCGGCTCGACTCGGCTCGGCTCGATAAGGCTCGTTAAGGCCTGAAAATAGAAGTTTTATATCATTTTTTATAGTTCGGTTAAAGCTCGAGATCGGCTCGTTAACCGAGCTCGAGCTAGATTTCAGGCTCGTTTATTTAATCGGCTCGGCTCGTTAAGGGCTCGAGCTCGGCTATGCTCGTTTACAGCCCTAAGTGTACTGTTCCAGCAAATATATATATTATCATAATCAATTCTCATACTTTAAAATATAAAAATTTATAGTATAAATATTTTTTTTTGTTTTTTTTATTTGTTGTTATTATTATCATTATTTAAAAAAAAAAATAGGTTTCCTTATAAAAAAAAATTATGATAACACATACAAAAATCATAATCAATTGGGCATTTAGAATTTTGATTAATTAGTCATTAAATTTTGATTAATTAAAAAAACACTCAGTAATTGGAAAATGCATGCTTTTCCCTAGCAAGCATGCAAAAAAGCAAAACCATAGCACCAGCGGGGTCAACAAAAGGCAGTAAAAGTAAAAGGTGAGAAAGAGGTCCAATGCAGTAGCAAGATAAATTAAAAATCTTGGAAAAAATGAAATTAATTTGTTGCATGAAAACAGAGTGGTGGTGGACTGGCAGTCATAATCCTCCGAACCTGGCCCCCTAATTACCTCAATCGACGTGGCGGTCCGTCAAAAAAGGTAAAAAACGAAAAACAGTGAAAATTAAATGACCGTAATTAATTAACTAATTATTAAATGTTTTTTTACCCTAAATAAAATAGCTGGTAATTTCGAATCCCACCACAGCTAGCCCCCACTTGATCATCTCTCACCAACTTACGATGTTCAGCTTCACATTTCTCAAGATGATCTATACACTTTCACATCTCACAAACACAGTTTTATATTTATATAGTTAAATAAATTACATATGCCTTCTTTACTTTAAAAAGAGAAAAAAAAAACCATTATGAAATTATAAATTTAACACAAGAAAGTGAAAATAGAAGAATAGATTTGGAGCAGAGAAGGTTGCATAAAAACAGCTTCCTATTGAGTAAGTGTTTCTTGCGAGCTATTTGATTCAATTTTTTATTAATTCTTTTGTCTTGAAATTTTGGCTAGGGTTTTTTCCTTCATGTGATTCTTTTCTTGTTTCTTGAGATATTCTTGAAGCATAAAATATTAGGGTTTATACTATTTCATTTTGTTGCTGGGGTTATAATAATTTAGTACAATAAGCAAAGTTTTAGTGGGTTTGGGGTTCAATACCTCTTGATTGATAGGACCTTCTTTTTCTGTAAAAAAAAAAAAATATACATTTAGGGTTTGGAAAGTTTTCAAGGATAGCGAGAGACGTGGGCCCTGATGCTCCCTAATGTCGACCTACATCTTTGCAACATATGTGCATATATATAAAAATATATTACAAGCTACCAAAAATTGAAGATTACTGATCAGTTGTGAATCTTTCAGTTTGAATATGAAAACTCATTAACTTTTCATCAACATCAATTTTCTTTCATTTTTGAATATGAAAACTCATTAATGTACTAATTTGATTTAGTGTATCATTGTTTGAGAAATACCAATTAATTAGTTGAACGAAAACGAATTTTTACCATTTACTTCATAGTTATCATTTCTTCAATTATGCTCTAATAGGATCATCTATGATCATTAATACATACTTTTTTAATTGGATTATTCATTTAGTTTAAGCAAAATCGTGAAAAGAAATTAGTAGTAATCAGGGTGTTTGAAAAATTGTTTTGACTGACCCAGTCAGTGGAAGACAGAAGGCACAGAAACAAAGAGGCGAAATTCTACCTAGTCTTTTTTTTATCTTTATTTATTTAATTTTTTATTATTGTGTAGTACCACTTAGAGGACATGCACAGCACAAAAACAAATACTAAAATTTAAAAAAAAAAATTGTTTTTGTTTATTTACCTTTGACGAGTGCGGTTTCCAATTCAGACGGTCAACAGATTTCAACTTGGAAAAGCCAAACAAAATCATCCAATCTTTTCTTAATTGGCTAAAAACCCCTTTTGCTACTTGCTAGTTTTCTTTTGAAATGGTGTAATTCTCACTCGTTCCGTCAAAGGCTCATGATCAGTAACTTCAAATATTTTATGCATTATTTTCCATATAATATGGGCGTGTCCGTACACATTTAGCTTCAACACATGCAGAGACAGGGGTTAAATTAGCCTATCCACACAATTGGGTTTTCATGGGCATAATATATATATATATATGTATAAATTATATTGATAAATTTGAGTAACAATTGAACTCATCATGCTTGTATTTATTAGGATAATTCATTCATTTATGAGGGTTACAATTGTTTTTCTTTGGATTAATTGCAAATAAAATTTTAACCTTTTGTCTAATTGCAAATACAACTCTAACTTTTTCAATTTAACAAAAAAATATCAAACCTTTAATAAGTGTTGCAATTGTGTCTCATGATCACCTTCCGCCGCTGTCGGACTGCCGCCAACCGCTACCCGCCGCCGTCCAACTTTGCCGAATGTTGAAAATTTTTACATGATTTTGTAGCTCTCCTACGTGCCGACAACATATTCGAGTTTCACGAAAAAATTCCGACAATAATGCTTCTAATTTTCTGGTCAAAGCTCGTAGATCTACAAATTTTCTCCGACGTTCTTTCGCAAATTCCCGGCGACTCGCTTTGATCCACGTGAATCCGAAGGTACCGTTGAACTCCTCTCGCAAAGCCGCATCTAGTGACGTCCACTTTCGCCGGAACCGGTGACTTTTTCCGGTGACGACTTTTCCAGTCATCTCCTTATCGTCGGAATTTTTTCGTGAAACTCGGATATGTTGTCGGCACGGAGGAGAACTATAAGATCATGTAAAAAATTTTAATATTCGGCAAAGTTGGCCGGCGGCAGGTGGCGGTTGGCGGTGGTCCGACGGCGGCGGAAGGTGATTGAGACACAATTGCAACACCTACTAAAAGTTTGATATTTTTTGGTCAAATTGAGTTTTATTTGCAATTAGACAAAATGTTAAGATTTTATTTGCATTTAACCCTTTTTCTTTTGAACAGAAGTTTAATTTGCTTGAATGAACTACGAAAAAACTTTATATGCATTGTACTTCATATGCAAATTATGGTTCATGAACCATTGGATTTGTAGTTTTGTTACTTTTCAGCTCATTTAAGGCATTTTTATATACAAGTTGAGAGTTCGGCATTAACTTCCACCCTACTAGGGTGTTGTTGAAAAAAAAAAAAAATTATGGTTCATGAGTTACTAGTTACAGCTGGTAAATAAATTTTTATTCGGAGAGAGAAGATGAGCTAACGTGGAAGTGCTGGGATTTTGGGTGCCATTTTTAACTCATAACGAGGAATTAAGAGAGTCCCAATAAACCAAGTGTGTATTGGTACAATGACTGAAAGACCTCACCATTTGCACTATATATCTAAATTAGTTAGGGTTTATCAAGAATTTTTACTTATAATCATGAAATTGGTTCGTTGGTTATCTTGATTTTTACCCTTTCAGAAAATAATAGCAAAAGATATTTGTTATCACGTGTGGTGTATCTTAAGAGTTATTTCTAACAATTTATATATGGTCAGAATTTAATCAGTTACTTTGCACATATTAACCAAACTATTTGTGTCAGCTGTATTTTATTAGTTAATCAACAAAATTTTATTAAAATGAAGTGCACATATATAGTAGATTACATTTAGTGTGTTGGAATTTGATGGTCAGAGTCAGAGTCAGACGACTGTAGAAGCCGGTTGGGGACAACATATGAACACAGTGTAATAAGAAAATGCCCCATATTTAAATATCCTTATTTCTCTCCAAATCACTCTTTTTTAGCCTCCTCCTCTCTATCTTCTGCTTCAGTAATATTTCCCCTTCATACTTCTAGAGAGAGAGAGAGAAAGATTGAGAGAGAGAGAAAGATTGAGAGAAGAACAAGTTACATTTCATGGTGCTATATATCTTTTATTTCATCAATGGTATATATACAAATACTTGATTAGCAAAGGTTGTTCATTTTCTCCACTCAGATCTCATATTTTATGTTGCCCTAGCAACAATAAGTCTATCATGATTGATATGTAATAGCCTTCTCTTTTTTCTTTTTATTTTTTTATTTTGCAGGTGATATAAGCTCAAGCTGAGAGTATAAGATCATATAAGGAAAAAAATCATAGTCATCATCATTTAGGGCAAAAAAGAAAAAAGAAAAAAAAAAGAAAACCATGAATTCCAGCAACTGGCTTTCTTTCCCTCTTTCTCCTGCTCATCCTTCTCTGCCACATCAGCCCCACCACTTCTCATTAGGGTTAGTCAGTGACAACATTGAAACCCCTTTCCAAAATCAAGGTACGTCGTAACTCCAAAATTACACACACTCCTTACTAATAATAATTTCATTAATTAATTTACTTTTTTTTTTTGTTTAGCTTATGGGGATTGGAACTTGATCAGCGGTCAGGATCAGGCGAGCGAGGTCCCTAAAGTGGCGGATTTTCTCGGGGTTTGCAAGTCGGACAATAACCAGTCGGACCTCGTTTCGTACAACGAGATCCAGTCTGGAGGCCCCGACTATCTGTTCTCGACCGGGAGTTTGGTGACCGTGCAGCACACGCTGGCGGGGCCCACGGGCTTCGAGGGCGGGTGCAATATGCAGCAGCTGACACTGTCGATGGGCAGCGGCAAGGGCTCGACTAGTGAGACGAGCGCTAGCGTCACTGCCAGTGCAGACAACAATAGCAACACGGCCAGCATTGTGGAGGCTGCTGCTGCAGCGCCTAGGAGGACCTTGGACACTTTCGGACAAAGAACTTCTATTTATAGAGGTGTTACAAGGTGGGGTTTTCTCTCTCTCTCTCTTTTTTTTTTTTTTATATATAAATATATATATATATTTTATTTAGTTTTTATGTGAATTTTATGATGTGTTTTGTGAATGTGAATGCAGGCATAGGTGGACGGGGAGGTATGAAGCACATTTGTGGGATAATAGCTGCAGAAGGGAAGGCCAATCAAGAAAAGGTCGTCAAGGTAATTAATTAATTATGTGTCGTCTACTTATATTTAATTACTTTGGTTAATTTATTTACATGTATAGTTACTAATTGCATTTTTTTTTGTTGTTATGGTAAATTGTTGGACTACAATTCATGGTGGCGTGCAGTGTACTTGGGTACGTATGTAACTTGATTCTCATAAATTAAGTAGTAGATCGTGTATTGAATGATTGGATTTTGAACAACATATTATTATTTCTTTAGTTAATTTACTTAATTTGTTTGGGGTATGAATGGTCAGGTGGTTATGATAAGGAAGACAAAGCTGCTAGGGCATATGATCTGGCTGCACTCAAATACTGGGGAACTTCCACTACCACTAATTTCCCAGTATGCCCGAAATTAATGTTCAATAAGTCAGATCTATTTATTTATTTTAGGAATACAAAGAGGCATTATAAGATTTTATGAGAAAAATTGCAATGTCACGAATTATGTAATTTCTCAGATTAGCAACTACGAGAAGGAGTTAGAGGAGATGAAGCATATGACAAGGCAAGAATTTGTGGCCTCAATTAGAAGGTATGTCTTACAAAATTCCAGAATAAAAAAAATAAAATAAAATTGCGCAGATGATATGTTATTTGCCAATCAAATTAACTCAGTTCATAAAGTAATCAGTGGCGCATGCAATATATGTGAATCTTTCTATATAAGATGACAATAGTCAGATTTTTGTCAGAAATTGATACATTGTCTCTCTCTCTCACTCTCTCTCTTGTTTTATAATTTCTAACTACGCTTCAGGTTCAGGCCTCCCTGCATCTTCTGATTTTGGAACCTTTTTTTTACCCTTCTCATTTTATAGCTTTTGATGTATTTTATTATCATTCTTCTTGTCAGCCCATTTTTCAGAACACTTCCTTTTAATCTCCTTTTATCCATATTTATTACTCAACTTTTCTTAATAATCTGGCACTGCTAGCATATATTCAAATTGCATAAATTATATATATAGTTTCATATTGTTCAATTGATCAGGAAGAGCAGTGGGTTCTCTAGGGGAGCATCCATGTACCGTGGGGTAACAAGGTCATCCCAAATTATTATTTGTTTATTTTTATTTTTGTTTCATAGATTCACATCATTCATAAAAAATAACAATAATAATAATAATAATAATCATCGAAATTGATTTAATTTATACAAACAGGCACCACCAGCACGGGAGGTGGCAAGCCAGAATAGGCCGAGTAGCCGGGAACAAAGATCTCTACTTGGGAACATTCAGTAATCAATCAATCAATCAATCAAAATCCCATTCCACATTTCCATATTTAATTCCCATATTTATTTATATATATAATTGAAATTAACACATGTGGGGCCCACAGGCACGGAGGAGGAGGCGGCGGAGGCGTACGACATCGCGGCCATAAAGTTCCGCGGCCTAAACGCGGTGACCAACTTCGACATGAGCCGCTACGATGTGAAGGCCATCCTCGAGAGCGCCGCCCTCCCCATCGGCGGCGGGGCCGCCAAGCGCCTCAAGGAGGCCCAGCAGGCCGTAGTCGAGTCCTCCCGCAAGCGCGACCTCCACCACGACCTCATCTCCGCATTTCCCTACGTGGGCCCCACCACCACCACAACCCATACATACCCACTCACTCAGCAGCAGCCGTTCGACCTCCCCCAGCCGCTGCTATCCCTGCACCAGAACACGGATTACACGCACGACTACGCGTCGTATGTTCAGGCGCAGCTCCAGCAGCAGCCGGCGTACCAGAGTTATAATGCGGCGGCCCAGTTGTACGGAGGGTACAACATGCTGCAGCTGCACGGGCTGATGGCGGGGGGAGGGTCCGTGGGCTCGTCGGCCGTGGTGGATCACAACAATAATAACAACAACAATGGTGGGGGGTTTCTTGGGATGGGGCAGACGAATGGGTCGGGAGAGGAGCTGGCGCTGGTTAAAGTTGACTACGATCAGATGGGGTCGGGCGCGGCGTATGCCGGGTGGACAGGAGAGACCTTGCAGGGGTCTAATCCGAGTGTGTTCAGCATGTGGAATGACTGAGGGAGTAATTCGTGAGTGTGTTTTT